AGGGTGTCTTTGGTGTTTAGGGTTTAGGGTTTTTGGTTTAGGGTTTAGGGTTTGTTTGGGGTTTAGGGTTTAGGGTGTCTTTGGTGTTTAGGGTTTAGGGTTTTTGGTTTAGGGTTTAGGGTTTGTTTGGGGTTGTTAGGTGTTATTTCTGTTTGGGTGCTTCGGGCTTTTGGGCTTGGGGGGGTGTTGAAAGCTTCATGTTGCGCGCTGATTGGTGTACCGCTCCTCCCACGCAAGACTTGTTGTCTATGCGACAGCTAATTCCGTGCCCAGGCCAGTTGACGAACCCTCTATTCCGAATAAGAAGAAGATCCTTCGCTTACTTGGAGGTTCATGGGGAGTTATAAGTGGGGTTATAAGTAGGGTAAGCATAGTTATAACCCAAATCAGGGGACTTATAACCCCACTTGTAACTTCCCCTAAACCCTAAACCCTAAAAACCCCCTATAGAACCCTTTAAAGGAACCCTTAAAGGAACCCCATAACCCCCACTTATAACTACCCATGAACCTCCAAGTAAGGCCCCTAAACCCTAAATCCTAAACCCTAAACCCTAAATCCTAAGCCCTAAACCCTAAACCCTAAATCCTAAACCCTAAATCCTGGCCCTAAACCCCTAAACCCTTTTTGACGCCTCTGGGCAGGCTTGCCAGAGATGCCCGCCGAGCCCAGCGAAGGGCCACGGGCAAAGAGGCGGCGCCTTGCGGACAGGCCCTGAGGGTCATAGGTCTGACAGGTTCTGCTTAAAGGGCTTCAAAGGAGAATATATAAGGTTATAAAGGGCCGGGTTTAGGGTTTGGGGTTTAGGGTTTAGGGGAATCTATTATAAGGTTATGAGGTCTTGTGGTTAATTGGGGTTTAGGTTTCAGGGTTTGGGGTTCGGGCTCCAGGTTCAAGGAATTTGGGGGCTTTCAGACTGCACCAGGCTTGTGTTGATGTTGGAATCTCATGAAGTAAATCCTTGAATCCAAAAGTTAGTAGGATCCGCATTGAGCACGTTGTCAAGAATGTAAAATCACTGTGTCGCAGTCGCTCCACAAGAAAGTCAAGTGGGTTTAGGTGGATCGTGTGGCTATGAGAAGGGACGGCTTCCTCGAGGTGTTTCAAATTCTGCTTGGTTTTGGACTCCGGTGCGGCAGTTGGCTCGGTCTCTCGATCCGACTTCCTCATCCCCGCAATGGCCTCCCTTTAAGAGCCGCCCCCGTCAGGAGCCCCCTGCAAGAGATGATTTCTGGCGGGGTGGACGTGCCTGTCACGAAGTGGCAGCAGTTCACGAGGCCTCCTTGGGCCTTAGGTGACATGAGAGTCGGGCAGTCCTTCTCCCAGTGCTCAGTAGTCCTACGGGCGCATGGCTGCATGTCCTTTGTGCTGGTGCCACGACGACGAATCGACGATGACTGCTATTTGGTAGCCACCAGAAGAGCACGGGATCGAAACCCGCTGTGCTTTAAAGGGCCCCCTGTCAGGTACTCACCGAACAAGGTGGAGCAGCTCCCTGCAGGGCTAAGAACTATGCGGTGGCACCTCGGCAGGATTTCAAAGCCCCTTCTCTCAGGCTTTTGGGGGATCTTTGAGGGCCCTTTACTCCTAAGCCTCGCCAGGGTGCACGTAGAGACCCCTGCCTCGGAAGCGCAAAATGCCCGGCGGAGGTTCTGGGACTATGTCGCGAACCTGTCAGGAGAGGAGCGGTCTGCGCTGCTGAGCTCTGGCTGCATTGCTGTCAGTTCGCTTCGCACGCCGAGGGCCGACATTGACTGCCCTTACCTGCGGCCGTCTGACTGGTAGGACAGTAGGATCCCCTTACTTTGATTGAAGACACGCCCTAGCTCCTTTGCATCGGCCAATGCCGAGGCAGTGGATCACCGGATACCGGCGTATCCCCCCAGGCTGCATGCGAAGGGAGGGCTCTCGGGCTCGAGCAGTGAGCTTCGTGGGTCAAGGTTTGCTGTCGGTAGGTGTGAAAAGACACTGTCCCGATGCTTGTCAAGACTCGATAGGAGCTGCGAACACCGACTGACGAGCGTGTGGTCGTGTGCATCTTGTTCCCCCCAGTCATTGGCTACGGTTAGTTTGGAACCCGTGTTCAGAGCTGCCTCAGTCCTCAAACCGGACCAACAACAAGGTCCGAAGATAACGATGAACGAGTACATGACAGGCCGTGTGTGGAAGAAGGCATGAAGTAGCCGTCAGGAGATGTAGTAGAACAACGGTTTCCAAGGCAAACCAAAGTCTAAAGTGCATGTAAAAAAAAGCCTTTGCAGAAAGCTTTGTTGGCCATCTTATAAAATGCTTTCGAATTCTAGACTCTAGACTCTTGGATAGACCCTAACACAGAGCCGCCCAGACGCTATCAGCCTTCCAGGAATGTCGTGTTGAAAGCTTGCTGCCCGAAGGTGGCTTCCCCGCTCCCGTGCCTTTCATGACGCTTCACCTGACGGACGCCGCTTTGATTTGGGGTTCCTGTCGAACAAAAATCGGAGTTCCGCTTTCTGGGGTGCGGGGGGTTTTGGCATTCAGGATCTTAGGGCTGGGGATTTAGATCATGCTATGAAGCTCAGCTGATAGAAGAGATTGAAGTTGAGTCCTTGCTGCCACTAGCAAGAGTTCTGTCATCTGTTTGTCGGGGGAATTCACGCAGGATGCCAGCCCACAGCGCCTGCCAACTGCCCACACTTGCGGGCTGCAGCTGGACCTGTGTCCCGGCCATGTCACAAAGCTTGGAGGGGGCGTGGATGACATGTTTTTCGGGACGGAGCTCATCGCAGAGCTCGGGTCGGGGGTAAACAGACGAGGTGTTCTGTTTTGTTCCTGGGCCTTGTGGCGAGATGAGAGAAGGGTGAGATGTCAGCGACAGCTCGCCGGGCGTCGGAGTGCTGAGCTACAGTGACTGCAGAGTTGATGCCGCCCACTCCCGCCAAGGCCGCGAAACTATGGCACCTACGATGAACTGCGAATACGGCTGAGTGACGCCAGCCGCTGCCGCCAATTCTTCATAGCTTAGTGCTGCGGGTGTACGGGACCACACTGTACTGTGCACCAATAAACCCTAAACCCTAAACCCCAATGTATTGTGCACCCATGCAGAACTTGAGGTTTGCCCCCGGCCACCCCTCCATCAGCCAAGAGATCCTTGGCCCGAAGCGAAGTCCCGAGCAAAAAAAGGGGCTGCAAAATTGAACTTCATAACAATAATAGTAATCACAACAATAATAGTAGCAATAATAATCATAATAGTCATAAAAATAAGAATAAGAATAAAATATAAGGGAGCCTCAGACTCCCCGCAACTAGAGCGTCTCTTGTCTGGAGGCTTCCCGTGGCCAAGTGAAAGATGCAAAGAAGCGGCTGAAAGCGAGCGAGCTCTTGTCACAGGCCGGGCCCGGGGGTTTAGGGTTTCGGGTTCCGGGGGGGGGGGGGGGGGGAAACAGGGAACGAAGGACTCTGCAAGGGCAACTAGAATGGAGGTGCTGTGGTTACTATAGGAGTACATTCTACATTATAAGATGTGTTTCTCGAGGTTGCCATACTAGGGGTACGCTAAGAAGGGTCTCTCTGTCCATTTTTTTGCGTAATTGTCTTGACATAGACTTCACCGACCTTCACCGTTTGGAGTTTCTGCCAAGGCTGCGGAAAATGCCAAGTCCGACATGTCGAAGAAAGATGCTGCAGTAGACTCAGAGGTTTCCGGGCCCTGGGTTTGGGGGTTTAGGGTTTTAG